ATTATTATTATTATTATTATTATTATTATTATTATTATTATTATTATTATTATTATTATTATATTCATTATTAGTATTATTATATTCATTATTATTTATTACTATTTATTATTATCACTGCGTTTTTACTATTATTAGTTATTAATGTTATTATTTATTGATATTGTTAAGACAATTATTATTTATTCTTATTATCATTTATTATAATTTATTATTTTCCTTGTTATTATTGATTTTATTAATATTGTTCTCATTTTGTCTGTTATAATTTATTCGTACTATTCTGCAAGGATGGCGGAGAAATAGTTTTCCAAGTAATTCAGTGCTAGTAGTTATTAGAGATTCGAATCCACCAAAAAACATCATATTCAATGCCACTAGGGAGAGACGAATGGCCATCAGCGAGAGGTGGAACGACTCATCGAGGGCAAGTTACCGCAGTTAATTCTCAAAACTGCCAAAGACTGTTTGTGAGGAATTCCCTCAAGAAACATCTAAAGGTGCAACTGTGTTTCCGAATGAACACTCCACATTCAAATGTTGGTCGTACTCTAAACTCTAGGCGCGATCCATCACAAAAATTGTTCACATTTTACGCCTCAAAAAAAGTTTATGCTTGGAGGATTTGAGTCCGATTGAACGAATCAATTCAATCTGAACTGATTAGTATGAAACCGTGCACCAGTTTTTGACCGAACTGTTGGATCGAAACAAGAATCCTCTGCTCTTCAATGATGGTGGCTACCACAGCGCGAATCCCTCCGTTTTGCTTCAATCATCACGGTCAAAAGCTGTCAACTACCTCCTTGGACAACCTTCTCCCACCCGAAATAATCTCCATTTTGCCCTGCAAATGCCAAAAAATTACGTTTCAAACCCTAATTACCACAACTTTGATCGTGTCACTTTTCTGACTGACGGAACATAATAGAACAGTTTAGAACGGTATAGCACGGTTTAAGGGGTAGAATAGGATAGAATAGAACAGTTTTGAAACGAGCAACGCACAGGATAGAACAGAATAGAGCCATCTCGGAGTGGAATCGAACAGAATAGAACAGTTTTCAAAAATGTGGCATACAGACATCACTAGTTGCAGATATTTCTTTGATCCTATTTCTTGAGCAGTAGAATCGTTTTTGAATTTCACTTATCACATTTGTCCATTTCATCCTTCTCCTTTCATCACTCTTTCACTAATAACGAGAATAGTCGTGCTTTGCAGGAGTTCAGCAGGAATTTGTTCAGGTTGTGCTGACAGTTGCATTGTTTGGTCGAGTTTTTTTTGCTTTATGAACTGGTTGCTTGCATTTCACTTCGTTCCATTATCATTCTATACGTTTCTCTCTCTAAGAATCTTTACAGAGACATAGAATGTACTCCATTTTTCTATTTTTGGTACAAGGTTATCACTGTTTAATCTAAGCGAGTGAAGATCAAAACTTTTATGATCCTTATCAAACTGTCGTCGAAGCATGGAATATCAATTAAAATGTTGATAACAATGAATCGGTGTTCGTTTTTTGATGCGTGAGAATTTTCAGTATTTATTAGTATCAGACGCGAAAAAGTTAGTAGTTTAACTCGATACGGACTAATCAGATTCTTAGTCCTATCTTTGCTTAGTTCTTCATCAGTTATCAGTTTCATCTCCAGAATTCAACTAATCCACTCATAACTTGGAATATGGCTGGTGAAACCCCTCCTGAGCCTGAGTTCGGCACAGCTGTAAGTCTTGTTTATGTGATTTTAAATGTGCATCATTGTTCGAGGTCAAAGTGCTTACACATCCACGTCACGTAAATTCGAGACTTTCGATGAACAAATGAACACGAAAATTTTGCGCAGTCGTGAATAGGATGGCTGAGTTTAAATACTCCATCGCGATCTTTCAACTCATCTTGCAATGCTAAAAAAAATGTATAGAATTTAACAGAAATTACTGATAACTTCGATCACCAAACAACTTGATCTTTGAAATCGAATCTATAAATGGACAAAGAACTCAGGAGTTACCAGCTCTTTCAGCTAACTTTTTTCTTCAAACTCTCTCAAAACAGCTGTGAGCTTTAAAAAACGATATCGTATTTAGTGACATTTAAGCATAATCTTCAAATGCGAAAAATACTGCTGGTTAGGTAGGTCATACGAAGAATTATTTGGTTCACAGAAATGTCAACACTTGCATAAGCGTGACTACGCATGCTTTAGATGACATGCAATCAAACTGCAACTAAGCATCTTCAGGTCGGCTATGTACTGGTATTCAATTTGATTGTTGGTACAGGAGCATTGGCACTGCCCAAAGCCTTTGAAAATGCCGGATATATTCTTGCAGTCATCCTTCTCGTTGTATCCTCATTCATGAGGTACGCTTTCACGTTCATTCTGTTATGATCATGCTTCTACCATCTCCATCAACTTTCGTTTTTCATTACGTGTTAAATTTAACTCACTTCGAAACATTTCACGAACAATGCAGTCTTTTCCGCAATGCACAACTAGTTGTATGTACTTAATTGTTACGATACTCATAAATAAACTTACAATTCAGAAATGACCAAAAATTAGCTTTTCAACGCGTAAAAGTATGGGTTTGCACATGAGCACCTAATTTTGTTGAAGTGCACGTAAAATGAGTTTATTATCATGACATATGTATGTTGTAGTTTTGGGTGAATATAAATAGACATTATATTTTTACGTATGAGTGTCTTAATCGTTTATCGATGCATTTTTTACGGATTTTATACGTATTTGATCTTGTGATGCTGATCAAATGAGAACACGATCACAAAATCAAAAAAGACAAGCGTTGTTCAGTGCATTATCAAAGAGTGGTCGACAGTTAGCTGTTAGAAGCGATTGATGGGCATACTTTTTGCGTGATAGAACTCATGCTCAGTTCACTGATAACGGTCCAGTTGACCAATGTAAAAAATGCTGAATTTCCATTCCACATTATTGCTGTTTAATGAGCACGAAAGAATGTAAGTGTACAGACATCGATGATCAGTCTGTCCACCACTGTTTGAGACTTATAAAAGTAATCGTCATTAAAATCATCCAATCAAACAGCTCCATTTATTGCGGATGGATTTCAATACTCGAGTTGTGAGGCATTTCAAACGCTATTTGCTTACTGAAGTAGTCTAGTGCAGTGTTTCTGATGCTTGGAAGCTCCATTCCCCTCTCCGATTGTCTGGCAGGCCATCATTCCCACCC